ATATATATATGCATATATATGCATGATTTTAGGCAACCAGATATACACGTCCTTACGTGAAATGTCATAATTCTGAAAGTCAAAAATTTCCCAAGTCAAGATTCAAAATGGGAAATTGCATAGAAATGGATTCTTTAACTCCTCCGGAAGTAGAAAACGCAAATGTGGGGTCACTAAATTTACTTCCAGAAAGAACCAAAATGCTTTACCAAAAAACCTACGATGAGTCTGTTGCTTGGTGCGCCAGAAAGCTAGTTGTAAGGTATTCGGAATTCGTATTACTTGGATCCTTTCCCGAAATTTCCCAAAAAGGCTCAATAGCACGCTTGTGGCCAAAGTATTCTATGCTTCGATCCACTTTATGCATCCATCATGATTTGGACCTATATACCCAACTAATGTTTATTCATACAAATTTTCACTTGTATGTTTGGTTGCATACCCCATATTTTGAATTTTCAATAATTTTTCTAAAATTACGATCACCGGAAAAGTATTGTAATTAATAACTCGACTGTTAATAGGCGATTAATAATCTCGACCATTAACGCGCTCGTTCCTCGCGCGTTAAAATATCTCGATTATTAATCGCCTTTATTAACTTGTTCGTTAAATAGCTATTGTTGTATAATTTTAATGCAACGTAAATTTCATGTTCGACAGTTTTAACCTCACATAATATTTCTATTTGTACAAGTTTATTTCACACCAGATCTTTTGTTTCATAAATCCTTGCTAAGTGTTGTTTTGTAAATACTTTGTTGATGAATGTTTCTATCATATAAATTATTTGATGTCCAACTTTAATCTCACATAAGAATTATTTGTTGTTTAAAATTTCACAAGTTTGTATGGCGAATCTAATACGTTGTTTATTGATCTTTGAAACTTTAACACTTGTTCAGTTGTTGTTAACATCAGAGTTATAGAAGATTGAATATTTAAAATGGAATTGAGGTTAAATGACACAGAAAACGTGGCAGAAGCGAGGTTCGGGTTCTAGTTGATCTGGCGAGATTTATCGTGTAATCTGTACAAGTATACAGGTTTGGATAGATTCAGGGGCGGCCGCCGATCTTGTAAATTTCTCGGTTCCTGCACATAGCCGAGATCTCTTGCGGGTTGGACGACCGCAATGGCCTAATTCAGCAGGGCACGTTCATAATGGAGATATGCGTGTGAGGTAGGTTTTGCGATAGATAGAATCACCGTCGTGGGGGGAGAACAGCTCCAGACCGGTAGCCCAAACTCCGCTTATGCTACAACGCCCCAGGGGCACTTTTGCTGTGCTCCTGTTAACTGCCGTAACTAAAAAAAAAGATTTGCTGCCGCACGCCTGTAATAGCTTGTGTATTTGCATCTAGTTACTTAATTCAGATTTTGCTTCGTTTATATTAAATTTGTGATATTCAAATATTTACATTGATCCCAAACAGATGTATAGAATTTTCCGTTTGTTCGTTTTTCATATGTGTATGTCTGTCAATTTGCGAGTGTCCCTTTTTTCATATATCTTAAGGTGTTTGAAATGTAATATGTCCGGGAATAAAACAAAGGGGGTTTTCGCGCTGAGGAGTAAATCTTCGCAACGTCTTTCCTCCGGTGAGGGGGTGCCGTGCTCCCCCCTCCAAAACAATTTTGTCTATTATTTCTTGCGCTCTCAACTCACATGTATGAAAGAACGTCTTCTCGCCATTTTTCAAAAACAAAAAAAACACAACGTATTGTCTTTGCCATTTCTATTGAAACACCAACCGTTGATTTTGCTTAAAATTTAGCAATTGGTAACAGCTTTCAGTTGATTGACAACGGCTTTTAGTTAGAAAATTGTCTGAATATGAACGTTGCCAAATTTGCGATTAACAAGTGGTGTTTCAATAGAAATGGCAAAGACTATAGGTTCCTATTCGTTAGACGATCACAGCCAAGGCCAAACTTTGAATTTTTGAATTTTTCGCGGGCCTTTCAAACTTTTTCAAGATCAATTTAAAGGCGGGAAGTTTGGGTTATCATAATATATGTATTAGGTTAAAATCTCGAAAAAATTTATATTTGCACCCTCACAATCATAATTCACACCACTTCGCGTTTGGCTCCATCGGCAGAGGCTTGCTAGCCGCTAGCCTCCGAACGACAGTGCATCTGATTGAGACCGTAACCTTGACGAATCCTCATTCTGTATTGCATTGGCTAAAACATCGTGGCTAAAACGTTGATCGGACTGCCGCTCCAAGCCGCTAGCCCAGTGTTGCCAACCTCGTTGATTACTTTCCCCCTAAACTCGTCTAAAAAATTCCCTAACTTAGCCAAAAAACTCCCTAAATACAAAATAGAAAAAGTATTTTGCCAATATAAATTGTAGATGAGTACGCTGTCGCTCAACATTTGAACAGCCAAAGACACTTTCATTTTTTCATTATGATAATTTAGATGACACTTCCTAATTTTAGTAACAGCATGTAACTGAAATTCTACTAATTCTACTAATTTTTCCAGAAATTCCCATAATATTTTGATGCCTTCTTCGTCGTATAAAATTTTTGTATCACCTAACTCATTCCGAATCAATTTTATCATATGACATATCTCCAGAATAATATAAACTGGATTATTAGTAACTGGACGGGGAAAGTATGGCTTCAGGTTGTCACAAGTTAAAGAGGCACCCAACGAATTGGCCATTGCCAAATTACATGCAGCACCATCAAAGGTTATTGAAGAAATAACAACACCTGTGTCTTGAAGCATGTCAAAACACCCCATCACCAAGTTCGCTCTTTCCTCGCCAGATAGTCCATTAATGAAAAAATATGCAACAGGGATTTTCCAACGACTGTTTAAAGCGACCAACATAAATACTAAAGCGTTTCTAGCCTCTAGTAAAGAATCGTTTCCTTCCATGTTAAAACCATAATTAACATAACTTACCAAGCGTTTGCCTGTCCACATTACATGCTGCCTAACAGACATCTCATCCCTTACCATATTGCAAAGTAGAGTCTTGTTGCTGGTTTTCATTTCCTTTACTTTAATTTTTATGGCTCGAAGGGACTCAGCAGTATAACCAGGTCTACCATCTATACTTTGGTACCTTTTACCAAGAGTCTTGGGATGAGGTAGACAATTCCCGAATGTTTTACGCACATAATTGTACTCAGCTGTAGAATAAAAGTGTAGAGTTAAAGCAAATTTTCTTAATTCTTCTGAATATTGTTTCGTATTTTTCAGTTTAAGTTGTCTCAAAAGCAAATGTTTCTCGGAAATAGGAAGATTTTCCTGTTAAAAAAACATAAATTCAAGATATTTACATGTAACTACGATAAAACCCAAAACTGAAATTTCGGCTTCTGTAAAACAAAAATACTTGATATAATGTGAATACACTTAAACACACAGGTTATTAGAACACAAAATGTACCAATGAATTTCTTACCTAATACAGGCGTATATTACGATACCATACCATACCATACCTCACCATACCATAGCATACCATATCATACCATACCATACCATACCATACCATACCATAATATACCGTATCATATCATACCATAACAAGCTAATACCCTAATTTGCACGTAAAGGTTAAAACATACTAAGAGTTCTGCTGTTTATTGTCTCTATACTAGGAATCAGCGTTAAATTGACTTCATGCAACTACATCTACAGCTTTCTATTTTACCTTTAGCACACAGAAACATGTATCAGAAATATATTTTTTCTTCAAATGTGTAACTACATCTTCTAAAGATGTTATCTGTCTTAAAAATCTCCTATTTTTTTGACGAAGATGTCTAATTTTTTTTGCTCAGGCTTAATTATTCTGTTTGCAACTTTCCACATATGCAAACGTTTAGATGACTTTATGTCTTTAGTCTTATAATCCCCAAAATACACAGGCAATCTTCTTTTTCTGAGAACAAATAAAACATATCAAAATGTATCATGATACTCTATCTAGGTACCTACCTAGTTTGAATAGGTGTAGAGGGATTATTTCCATCGTCTGCTGTAGAAGACTGAAGCTTTCTAGACATCAAAGACAACAAAGATTAAATTGATTTATATTTAATGCTGACAACATTAATGCAACAACTATATCATTATTTTCTTACAATATTTTATTTTCGGATGACGGGCTAGCAACAGCTTCACAGATGACCATGTCGTTCGAAAAGTCTAAACGCTTTCTAGGCACCCTTTCTCTATTTTCTGTTCTTTCGCGTTCCTCTTTCTTAGGAGTATCTTGTATAGAAGATGTAAGAAATGGAAGTGAACCAGGGAATAAAGAAACGCGTTCAAAATTTCTGACTATTTGTTCTGGCAGAAAATGTTGACTAGAAATACGTGAACTAGCAGACGGACTAAAATCTTTTTTCCCGGCTGCCCTCACAACTTCAATCGACTTCAACCTAACTGTCCTAGAGGGTTATGTAAGGTATCAAATTTTTTCTACAACTATTTTAATGAATAAAATCAGAATCAGAAAAAAAAATAGGGTTGCCTTTAAAATATCGTTTATGATGTCACTACGTATTACAAAAAATAATTTTTTACGTCAAAAAGTGTGTGTTAAAGAAGAAACAAAATGTTATGAACAAAAGGGACGTTACACAAATAAGAAATCAATTTATCAATTTGTTGAAATTTGTTTTTCTGTTATTTATCTACTTCTAGTCATGTTGAACAATTTCGACAAATTCAAACGTACAAAAGAAAAACGAATGCAAAGGTAAATTGTTCATTTTTACTAAAATTTGTCTTTCTTTAAAAGGAGTTTGCTTAATCCAAACACATGTTTTTTGTTTCTGAAGAAAAATTCTGTTTTAAATTTCAACTATGTTCATGAATGTGTACTTGTCATTATCCACTTTTTGATTTAAAACCGGTATGCAGGAAATAAATATATGTATCTTACGAAGTTGTAAAAATCGTTTACGCATTTTGGGAATCGTTAAAATATATTGAAGTCAATTAAAAAAGTTAAAGAAAAGGAATATTTTTTTGTTAAGTTTATTAATAAACTGCTGATATAAAAATTCAACACAGATTGTTATATACAACTTGCTGGTACTAAATTAGTTCAGATATTGATTGATGGTATTGAGCAGCGGATATTTTCCTCCACCGCAGATCCCGCTGAAGTCATCAGTATCCAAAGACCACACCATAGCACCTCCTAGACCCTTGGAATTGGCATATTCGACCTACAACACCAGCATTAATGTTACCTGTCAAAAATGTGCCCACCTTAAACTGACTTTAATTTGAAGAGACCTAGCATCATCGAAGCCAATCCATTGGTTTCCATTTACAATATGAGGTACTTGTTGTTCATCGTCCCAGATATATTCCCAATTGCTGTATAATTCACACACCTAGCAAAAGAAACCCTAAATGTTGTTCGTTTAGACCACCCTGTTACTTACCTCGTTATATCCAATAACACCCATTTCACGCGTATATGGACCTGCTTCGCTTCCACCATAAGTACCTGCGTACAGGGAAGTGTTGGCAGCATCAGCCAAAGAAAAACCACGACCATAAGTTCCAAGACCAATATTGATTTTACTGGCTGGAGCTCCTTGATCTAGCCAGTATTCAATACCAGCAGCTACATTCAGAGTCTTTTGCTCGTCAGTTTGGTCAAGAGAAGAGGCATACAGAGGAGCGTAATGACCAACGAAGGGTTCGAAAGCACCGTGGAAGTCGTAGACCATGACGTTGATCATGTCGAGGTTTCTAAAAACTGTTTAATAATATTTTGTTGCAATTCATTATGATAAAATTACTCTGCCACTGCAGCAATATCATAAGAAAGTTTGCAGGAAGCAATTCCTCCGGACACAGCCGCGGAAAGGGTTTGTCCTCTAGCGTTAAGGGCAGATTTCAGTTCACCAAGGAGAGTGATAAAGTTGGCCTGGAAGGTAGAGGCAAAAATTGAACTAGATCATATTTTTATTTCAAAAGACGACCTAATATTTCAAATTTTCTGTCAATATCGAAAACATCATCAAGTTGGCCTTGATTTTTATACATTGTGTGTGTCTATAATTAACCTAAAACTTAATCGATGGCAGCTGAAAACGCGAAAATTTCAATTTTACATAACATCATGGATTAATTAGACATATGCGTTTTCTCTACATTTCCTTCTTTCAAAAGAGCAACTCCAGCTTGATGACTTTTTCAGTTGAACAACTGTAACTTGTTGGAAGACTAGATACCAAAATTGCGGCCATTTGTTAACGGCAATTTTAATGAGATGAAACATGCAAATTCGGTTTCTTTTCAAGCTCATTAAATAGTATATCATATACTCATTATAATTTCTAATTATAACATGCTCTGAGGCCAATTGAATCGAACCCTAAATTAATTCATACGATTAATGAAACATCAAATTTCAACGGTATATCACGATTGTGTTAGTTCAATTTTGTAGTTACATAAAAAATGAACAAAATTTCTTCAAAGTTATTCTCTTATCTTTATCTCTTTGATAACGCAATAATTTAGATAAACATTAACAGCTACTTCAAAAACTAATGAATTATTCAAACTGTGTCACAGCTTTGTTTGTCACGGAAACGATTTCAAAATAGCTATTTGTCTAGAAGATAATTGCAAACAAAACTTTTAAAAATAGTTTTTTTAATATTGTTGTGTAAAAATGGCTTACCTTGTCAGCATCAACACCACCTCTTTGGCAAGGGTATTCCCAATCCAAATCAAAACCATCTAATCCATACTGATCATTGAAAGCTAAAACAGAATCAACTAAGCTTTGTCTCAGGGAAGGATTTCCAGCGACTGTTGAATATTTGGCAGATCCTTCATTCCATCCACCCATACTGAGGATCAGCTTCAAATCCGGATTTTGTTCTTTAATAGCCTGTAGATGAGCCATTTCCTCTAAACAGAAACAGTTATAACGTTACCAAAAGTAATTAAAAATATCTTACCTAATCCTGTCAGTTCCCAATCGTCCAAGACTGACACGGTCCCGTCTTCACGAAGACCAACGAAAGCGTAGAGAATATGGGTGCAAAGATTGGGGTCGATATTCGAAGCGCTAAATTTACCATGGTCGGGTCTGTAGATGGTCCAGCTGGTGAAGTAGCAGACGACTCTTCCTAGCGTTTTAATTGTAGTGAAACCAATGAGCGTTAATGAGAAAACTTTTACCTGAGGTTGGTAGCACGATGAAGGCGCTACACAGAGCCAGGAAGACCAAAAGTTTATTCATTTTGTTTCTAGTGATTAACAGTGGAAAACTGCTGGAAGTGTAAACCTCGGCGGCTTATATTACTTGAGATTTTATCTCGTTGAGTGGTTTCTGTTTTGAAGAAAGGATATTAATACATGGGGGGTTAATCACTTCGAGTGGGTTTTTTTTTATTATCTAACTTAACACATAACAACAGATGTAGTAGAAAATGTATCTAGGTTGAAGTGTTTAATAAGTTTGATAAAATAGAAGACTGACACTATCTGAAGTAACTTATATAAAGAAGAGGATTTTTTATTTTTAGATATACCGGCATATTGTTAAGGATATGCAGTGAAATTTGGGTAAATGAAGGAAAAACGTTACTTTTGTAAAAATTCTATTCGTATAACTGATATTTAAAAAAAAAAACATTTTCAAAAATACTCACATTAAATGTTACGAAAACATTTTTAAACACTCAAGCGTTGTTATTCACACTGATAAATTTTAATATGAAAAATTATTGTCGTTAATAAGTGCTGAATACCAATTCACTGAATCAACCTTTACTCATAGTGGCGTGATCATGTGGGTGAGGCATGTTGCAACATAGATTAAAATAAAGAAAGAGATCCATAATACGAAATTTCAGTACTAATAGTTTAGTGTTTTGAAATATTTCTATAATAATTTAGATAAGCCATTCTGATGTTAATACTTCATATGATGCAACTCTCCAAACATTTGTTGATAACATAGCCTTATTGAGAACATAAAAATTAGTGTAAATACTTCAGCTTAAAACCTTTGTTTTTAGGCATAAATAATTAAGTACTACTCAAAAATTTATTTGACAGTGACAAGTCGACAAGTTTCAGGTGAACTAATTCAGATAAAAGAATATTTTGTACTCAAATATCTACATCATTGAAACTGGAATATTGTGCATGATAAGGTTTATTTGGGCTTGAAGTAAAGGGGGAAATAGGGTGATAGTAGTTATGCAGTCATCCCTTTATCAAAATAGTTTATTAATTATTATTACCTAATAATAGAAATGTTTAAGTTTAAACATAGAATAGGTGCAAAAAAAATTTTTTTTACATCAATTTCAAAAAATTTATCAGATTATTCGAATCGCTAACATAGTCGAAATCTAAGTTATGCTTCAAAAAAATAAAACTTTGATTAAATATTTAAAATTTAATCAAAATCTTTTAGGTTCCGTGTTTTGCATCCTGAATCAATTGAATGATTGTAGAAATGAGATGTTGTGGAGGTCCCAGAATAATTTAAGTTATACTAATTGGAAACGTAAAAAGAGGCGCTTGTTAAAACGACATTACTGAGATACTTCCCTTAGGTAACTTTCAATCAAATATCTTTACAGCGACATATTGTTCAAACTGGTAGTTTTGCTTGTGCAATGTGAAATCTTTTTAGCAAACAGAAAAACAAAAAATATATTCAAAACTACAAAACGATTCCCATAGAGTCCACTTCAAAAGAATTTTCGTTAAAAGCATTTATAAAACAGAAGAGTAACCAGAATTTTTTCCTAAAGGGAAAAAGACGTTCAAAATATATATATTTTTTTATTTACAACTAAACAAAAATTTGAATTAATATGACAATAATAATGTGTTTAAACAAAGGAAAAGGCAGTTAAAAGTAGAAAAACGATTGACTATCGAATTTTTCCAGTGCCACTCATATTTAGAAAAGTTCACAAAATTGACGATATTTATTTTATCGTTTATTAATCTTGATCTATTTCATATCTTTGAAAATTTGTTTAAATGAACGGAATGAAACTACTTAAAATTCTACACAAATATTACTTAAACTAAACGTTTACTTTTAAACTGTAAGGTTTAATGGCCAATTCCCCTATTAATATTTGACTAAGTTTCAAATTTTTCTAATCACACTTGGTATTAAAATCTTTGACAACAGTTTCAGAATCTGGATTGAATTTTTATCAATTAATTCAACAAAAAGATAAGATGTTTGGAGTTACAGATAACAACGATTAATTTTTTTCATACTTATCTGGGTGTACATATCGTTTTCATAAAAATAAATTCGGAAAAAACTAGTTACAGATCTTGAAACATGATCTATTTGTCTTGTTTAAATTTGAAAATAATGTTACGATTTACGGATATTTAAAATCGGTTTGAGTAAAACTCAACAATTTATTTCTCGGTAATACACATTCATCCAACTAACAACTCGGCGATTATGTTCAAAATAATCTCGACGCAACTTAGACTCTAATTCTCTCATTGACTGGAGTAGACCAGTTTGTTTCGGATGTGGTCCCTATTTAAAGAGCCGTACGCTTATTTAGGAAAGATCGTGAACGCTACCTTCGAGGTTGTTCTGGAGTCCACCATCGAAACTTTCCGTGACTTCCGGTGGACCGCTTCTAGGTTTATCTTTATTCGAGCACCGCCGCCTCCCATGATGAGTCACCGTGGCGTACATACCAATAGGCGTCCTACCGGAGCGGCGTATGGCTTACTTTGTAATATACATTCTGATATCTCAAGCTATAGGTAGATAGGTAGTTTCAAGAAATAGAACTTACAAATAAAATAGTATTTAAAATGGAGGTAAATAATGTAAGTTAAGTTCTTTCTTGTAAAGATCTGAGATATAATGAAATTTTAACTTATTATTAGACTTTATCTTTCACTGCTTTCTTAAACTAAAGTTTAATTGGTGTTGTGATAAGATTAATTGTTTTATAAGTTATAGAATACCACAAGTTATAAAATATTTTTGGTTCGTTCTAAGTAATTTATCGGACGGGAAATACTTGAAATTACCAAACCCTATACTTTGTATAACATAATATAAATATGATCCTTTGTATGTGGTTTAACAATCCACCACTGTTCTTAACTATATACAGGATTCTCTAAAATATGTATTAATGTACAAAACGATTTATTTTATTTTGTTAATTTAAGAAACTTTAATTTCCATAAATAGTAGAAACACAAAGACGTTATGATTAATTTCACAGCGTGTATCTAATTTTTTTTATTATTATCCCCAATAAAAATTTGCTGATGTCATACCGCAAAATTATTAAATAAATTGCATTTGTTATTTGCAATTTTTTGTGCTTTGGGACAGTTATCTGTAATTAAATTAATTTTTGAAGCACTAAACAGTTATTAAAACAATTTACAAATAACAAAACTGGCAGTGTTGAAATTAATTTCATTTATTTGATTTTTACTGTATATTTTTTGTAGTTTATAATACTTCCGTTAACAGTTTTAATTAATGTTATCTTTAATTGCATGCAACAGAGGTCTTGCATCCCCACAGTGCCCGTGAATATCATCCTGATCAATAGACCATATCATAGCACCACCTAACCCATTTGAATTAATGTAGGCAACCTAAAATAAATTTCTGTAGACAGAACTTTATAAATTCCTCAAAAATACCTTGTTACGAATAGACCCTTCATCATCAATACCAAGCCACTGATTGCCATTCACGCAAACAGGCATTTTCTGTTCTGCGTCCCAAGTACAATGCCAAGAATCTCTTTGTTCACAAAACTGTAACAACAGATAAGAATGCGTTTATGAAAAAAAAAACACTTACTTCTAAATAACTCCAGCTTCCCTCTTCTTTAATAATAGGTCCACCTTTTCCGGGTCCAGTAATTGGAGCATGTAACCAGTTATTATCAGGATCTTGAAGAGTAAAACTGTGCCCATAGAACGCTATTCCTGCTATAAGTTTACCAGCACTTGCCCCAGAGTCTATCCATTGCCCGATGGCAGCATCCATATTTAGATTATTTTTCTCCCAATCGCTTTCAACAGAAGAAGCCCAAAGAGGCGAGTTCTGTCCTGTGTAGTCGCTCCAGGGGCCATACATATCGTACGTCATCACGTTTATATGGTCCAAAGTACTAGTTTAAAATTAATTGTTTCTAATTTTGAAGAAGTTTTTCAGACTTACTCAGATATCCTGGAAACGTCGTAACCATCGCTGACATCAGCACTGACAGCAGCACTTACTTCCCATCCGTTTTTGTTGAAGTCGTTCTTGAAGTCTTGAAGAAGAGAAACAAAGTTATCCTAAAGTAGGTACTGAAATTATTTTTGTATAGAGGTTTTCGTCTGGTTTTACCCTATCACCGCTTCCAGGAACTTCCCAGTCCAAGTCTACCCCATCGAAACCATAAGTTTCCATAAACCACCTTGCGCTACCTACCATAGCAGCTCTTTTTCCAGAACTAGCAGCAATGCTCGAAAATGTCTGAGAAGGTGCATCAGCACCACCGATACTGAGGAGTACTTTAAGACTTGGATTTTTTTCTTTCAATGCAATGATTCTTGAATATCCACCTGGGAAATATTAAACGTTAGGAATAAACTTCTACTACTTATTTCAAGTGGTAGGTACTACCTTGATCAATGTCGGCCCATTCGTCTTCAGCTGACAAACTACCATCACTGTTAATAGCAACGAACGCATAGTTTATGTGTGTGCACATGTTCGGGTCCAAATCTTCAGGTTGTACCGCACCATCGCCTCCATAATAGATAGCCCATGATGAGTAATAACACACAATTTTTTTAGCTACAGTTTTTATACTTTTTAACGGTTCTTCTATTTATAAGGAGTAAAAATACCTGCAGATGCAGCAGAAAACGTAGTAGCAACAAGGATAAAAGCACTAAACACCTTCATTGTGGGCGTTATTTTGTGACTATTCGTTTTTGTTGTTTATATAGTAGGTATCTAATTTTGGATTATCTCAACACTTATGTTTTGAAATAAGTGATATATTCCGCTGGAATGACTTGGTATTTACAGAAGTTGTTGTTGTTGGATTGAGTACCTGTCGGAGTGATTTTTGTTTTCACGATTTTCCAAAACCGTTATCAGTGCTAATTATTTTTGAATAGCTGTTGAGAACTTAACAAAAATATATAAAAAAGTTGAAAGTAATTGTGGATGATGAAACTTTTGTGTGTACTTTATCGTTCGTTGTTGTAAAATTAGCCTTTGAGAAAAATATATCTATCCGTAAACTAGGTATATACTTTTACTACTTATAGACTTACTTAAAAGGTGCAATCGAATTTTGTTTTGCAAATTTTTAATACAAAAGTTAATTATTTCTTTATTAAAAGTTGTCATAATTTTGTTGTTCCAAATGTGTGCACAAACTTTTTGTTTACTGATGTAAAATAATATTAGGAAATATAATTTTCAGTTGTTAAGATGAATTTTTATTTATACTTTAAACACTCATACAAATCTCATCTTATACTTCTTTTATCTTATCTCTCGAAAGATTTGTGAAGAAGTTTTCATTATATGTAGTCACGTTTGCCATAAAATCTTGTTTATCAGTTATAATATATTAAGTGCATCGCAATGTTATCGATAATTTTGAGCAACAATAACTCGAATGCTTGTTGCATTGAAAACGCACGAGTGCTTTAGCACGAGTGCATTTTTCTTAGGCAACAAGCATGAGAGATTATTGTTGTTCAAAATTATCGATTTCATTGTGATGCACGCAATATATTCAACAGATTATTGCAAGAACAAACATTTTAAAAATAATTTTATAATGATTTACGAAGTAGTTTGGTGTGCGATACTATGGCGACGCAAGTAAATAAGAACAGCCATTTTGCAAAATTTGTGTGGGTTTAAAAAACCATGTCCAATTTTCGTTTTGGTCGTAACACGCCAAAAGAAATTGATGATTCTATTACAAACATTACGCCGCTAAATACGAAGAACTCACGAAATTCAATCTGGAGGCAATTTGAGAAGTTTTGCGGTGAACGCAAATATGTTTTTGATGGAAACACTTCCACGGAAAAACTAGCATTCATCCTCAAAGATTGGGGGTACAATATGAAAAAAGTCGATGGTAATGACTACAAAGAAGCAGTAATAAAAACGATGTGGAATGTAACGGCAAAGCAGTTGCAAGAACTGTATTTCAATAAATTTGGTATAAAGTTTGATCCTTTTGTTGACCTGGAATTCAAGGGTAGTAGAAATGCACGCGACGCAAAACGCCGGAACCTACAAATACAACCGGAAAAACGCAAAACTAGTTCCTCAATTTTGACTCTAGAAGAATACAACAAGATTCTAAAGATTTATAACGAAGACACGCCAGATGGTTTACAGAAAATGTTTTTTTATGTGGCTGGATTAGAATTAGCTTGGAGGGGATGTGAAGGTGTTAACGTTACTATCAAACATTTTAAGGAAGAAAGTGATAATTGTGGTTTGCCTACGGGGCGAATAGAATACAATTGTATTTTTTCCAAAACAGCTCAAGGAGGTAGCCATAAATTAACAGACAGCAAATGGCTTGCAACAAACACCACAGATCCTAGAATTTGCCCTGTTAGGTAATTAAATACTGTTTCAAATACAAAATAATAATTATTTTATTATTTAAGGCTCTACAAAAAAATGCTGAGCAAGAGAGGTAAACATATAACCACCGATCGTTTATTTTTAACGCCAAATCCTGCATGGAGAGAACCTAGTTCTGTAGGATGGTTCAAAAATTCACCCGTTGGAAGGAATGAAATGGGGAAATGGACAAGAACCGCCGCAGAAGAAATAGGCATCGACATAAAGAAAAAGAAGATTAGTAATCATTCATTACGGTCAACTGCAGTGTCGCAACTTGCAAAAGCGGGAGTCGGTGAAGAACAGCTTATAAAGATTACCGGTCATGCCAATACTTTCTCCATCAAACCATACCTTCAGCTCGATGGAGATCATCATTATCAAATGATTGACAAATTACGCGCCAACTCAACGGCTATGGAAGAGTCTAATAACAAATCCACAAATTGCGCACCGTCTGCTTTGGTACAAATGTCTAAAAATATAGTTACTACTTCACCAAGCACACAAACCCCTGTAAATTACTACAACTGTACCATAATTAATTACAATTCTTAGTTTCATAATTAAATATTTGGTTAGTAACCTCTTGTTTTTTTTTGCAATTAACTGGTACTTGCTTATCTTATAGTTGGCACATCTGGCTAGTGATAATTATCGGTAGTGGTAATTGCACAGTGTGCAATTATCACGTAATTGTATGCTGATTGGTTGAATTTACAAATATTGACGCGTTTGATTGGTCAGTTGACATCATGTGACATGTGAGTGCAATAATCTCAAAAATAATTAAAATGTCAATGATATAATAGTACATTATGGAACTAGTGGATGAAGTTGAATTTCAACGGCGAGAGTGATTTTTTCACACGAGCGAGTGCAACGAGCGAGTGCGAAAAAGAAACTCGAGCCGTTGAAATTTCTTCATCCGCGAGTTGCATATACTATTTTTTCTAAGAAATTAGGAAATAAATGTTTGTTTATGGTAGGTATTTTATTTTTGAAATACATTAACTGTAATAGAACAATTTGTGCAATTATCACCAATAATATTTACACTTTTATCGTAAGTATTATTTGAACTTGTATCTTTGTTTAAACTTAGTTGGCTGCTTCCTGTATCAATAACTGCACTTGTATCAGATTCGAAAATGCCGCATTGGCAGCATTCAAAATTTCTTCAGAAACTTCGTCAGTCTCACTCATGTTCATTGTTTTCACTTGTGTAAACTAGCAGTATTAAACGTCAAACACTAACGGGTCGTCCAGCCTAGGCGTCATGATTTTCGAAGCGCGCGAAGCGGACGGTGCGGTCGGTGCAGGCGATACGCAACACGTTTCGCTAGCTGCGAAACGCTCAGGCTGGACGACCCGTTAAAATCGTAGACGGCCGAGTATTTTTCCACTAGAGGGTGAAATGAAATTTCATCCACTGCCAGCGATGGGAAAATGACAAACTTCAACCTTAATGAGTAGAAAAATGTATTTTTTTCACTAGCAGCCATGAAGCATGCAAATGTCGACTCATTTAGAGGTAGCAAATTCAACTTTTGCGACCACGGTTTCAAAAAGAAGATCGAGGTTATGTACGCAATACTTGATGTGATTATTTCTTAAAAAATTGGTCTAAAGAGTTTCGACAGTACTTCCCTCGCTGTCGGAAACGTGACGACTGCATGCCTATTATGGTTTTTTTTTTCGCAAAAAATATGAATGAAATGATAAATTGCAAGTACTCATCATATTTTGTATATTCTAGATAGGATTTATTCGGCAAACTTTTGAGCTGACGTCATCAGTTTTTTGGAGAAGATATCCAAATATATTTTGACTAAAAATTTATTATGCTCTTTATAATCTTAAAACATCTGCAAGATTTCAAAACATTCGGTTCTGTAGTTCCTGATTAAATCAATAAAATACATTTACGCATTCATTAATTTTTTTGGTTTACCCTGTATATGCAAATCCAAAAAATATGAATGGAATGATAAATCACAAGAAGAGACTCTTCATATTTTGTACATTTTAGATAATAAAATGGATTTATTCAGCAAAATTTTGTGGTGACGTCATCAATTTTTTGGAGGGGGCAAGCAAATATATTTTGACTAAAGATTTATGATGCTCTTTATAGCCTTAAAACGTCTGCAACATTTCAAAACATTCGGGTTAGCAAATTCAAAATTAAATTGCAAAATGTAGTTTTATACTTTTGATTTTTTTCCAAAAATTTCGACGTTTCGGGGAAAAACTCAAGTCGGAGTCGTAAACTACATATGTAGGACTATGTTAATTTATACAATTTAAAACCGATTTACTATGTACAATTTTGAAGTGACGTCATCGCATTAGTGATGGGGATGATTAGACAAATTTTGGTTAGCGTTTTACCATCTACATGATATTTCTAATATAACTACAAAATTTCATAACAATCGGTCCAGTAATTTCGGAGATTATCTGTCAAATAAAAATCCGGGACGGCAGACAGACGGACAGACGGACAGACGAACAGACGGACAGACGGACAGACGGACAGACAGACAGACGGAAATGGGAGACCTATTTCTTCGTCTTCTAGGGATCATGAAGGATCGAGAAAACGTAAAAGTAGAGAGTCGGCCGACGGACTCGATTACAATACTTCCTTTGCTTGCGCTCGGGAAGTAAAAATGAATAAATATGTGCTACTAACATTACTTGAGTATACGCATGGTACTTGGTAGACGGTAGAAGATAAAATGATTAATTCAGCGACAAATGTAAACGATTTTCTTTGTGTTGAAGATTTAGATTAAGTTTGATTAGAAATCAAAACAAAATCATGTTGCATCAAAAAATTCAACGTTTATTTTTTCAATTTATTGTCTTATGGTTTCTACTAGTGAAAAAAATAGTATATTAACCACGGTTGCAAAACCACTTCTATACCTCGCGTTTCAGAGCCCTCGACGCTGCTCGTCTCGGGGTCTAATTTGCGCTCGGTCTAGAATGCTTGGCTTTGCAACCTTGGCTAATAATATACTAATTGTAAAACAAAGCACTGTTGCCCCATGAAAAATATATATCCTTTTAAAGTATAACATTATAAAGTAAAGTACGGTAACAACAGAAGTAATTTTTGTAAGTAAATATGCGGTCTAATCTTGTAAATTTTATAATCGTTCTTGTAAAATTCTAAAATGCAGGTTACCCGTGTAATATATTTTGTATACAGACAGACAGACTCTGATACTATTGAACCTAGTAAGTATTTTAAAAATAATGATATGGTGGAAAAATTCTAATTGTAATTTTTCTTCTCTCTGTTGTTCTGTTGTCAAAAAAACAGAAGGCAATCTCTT